ACCACAAAATAAAACACATAAAACACAATAAAATAAGGACAAAAACACAATAAACATGTACATATATGTGTGGCGGCCCTATATTGCGTGAATATCTCCAGGCCGCGTGTCTTTGCAAATAAATCCTCCCATTATGGCTATTGCGTGATTTCCAATTAATTCCCATGAATTGGGTTCTGGCCCAACAAAACATTTCTGTCCAATTAAACTCATGACTCATGAATGGGCCCTTTATTATTTTCCAAATTAAGTGGCAACCCAATTATTTCTAAATCCAAGTTAGCCCACATTGGAATCACATGTCGGGTTTCGACATATTGTCCACGAAAACACTCCAATATTCTAAAAATAAAAATAAAAATATCATAGCACTCAAATCCATCTAATAAATAAATACGACGAAAAACACATAAGTGCATATAATAATATGCTTACAAATATATAAAATACACACTTTTACCGACCAATCATAATGTGAAATTGTTTGGGGCCGAAGGAATGGCGACGGGGAAGAAAGCAGTGGTCGTACAGAAGCAGCCTGCTCACCGGAACTTGCATGGAGATGTGGGGACTAATGTTGGGCCGGTTGATAAAAGGGCAAAGGTGTTGCTAGCAAGGCTGATAAGGTTTCTAAGGCTATTGTTGTCAAACGTTCCGCGTCCTCACCGGCTGTACCTGTGCCTCCGGGACAGCAAATACCCCTTTTGCCACGTTTAAGCGCCCCAGTTGGTTCTAGTTTGGATCCCCACAAACATCGCGTGGTGCAGACTTCCTTGAGAGCATTAAAAAACAGGAAAATTGTTTCATTAAGGCTTTGTTTGGTTCGGAGGAAACGGAGGGGAGGGGAAGGGAGGGGAGGGAAATTTTTAGTTTTTCCTTGTTTGGTTCGATTTTAAGTAAGGGGAGGGATTAAGATTTTCCCTTCAAATCCCTTGGAGGAGGGAAAATACACACCCCTCCAAAAGTGGGGGAATTTGGAGGGGAGGAAAAATTTTTAACATCAAATTACTCTTTTGACCTTATTGTGAATTATTTTATTTTTTTTCCTTACATCATTAAGGATATATTTGTCATTCTAACATTATTTTCCCTCCCCCTCCATCTTCTAACCAAACAAGGTTAATCATTTTCCTTCACCTCACTCTCTACAAAATCCATCCAAACAAGGTAAATTATTTTCCCTCCCTTTCCCTCCCCTCCCCTCCCTTCCATTAAATTCCCTCCCCTCCCCTCCCCTCCCCTCCCGTGAACCAAACATAGGCTAATGCTTGAACGTGTTCTTTTCAACTAATATGTCAATATTTGCAGGACCAACAAATATATTCTCGATCTAATTTGGATCTAATTGATTTGGGATTTTAATTTTTAAGTTTTTTTTTTTTTTTNNTTTTTTTTTTTTTTATATTTCTATCATGTTGTAATTCTTTGTGTTTTGTAATTTATATTGTCAATATAACTTTTTTTATCTTATTATTATTTTACTAGTGTGTATCCCGTGCGATACACGGACGAGCTTTTTACTTAAAACCTTTTCTAGGACTTTATATTACACATAGTTATTTATGTTTAACATCTCATTATTGTAAGAAAGGAAATACCAAATATGAAAAATTATATATCATTTATTTGAAAGTAATGAGTGTCCCCAACCAAACTATAATAACATCCAACATATGATATATATATGATAAAATTAATTATATGATCGTCATACGTTTTGAAAATATATATATATATATATATATATATATATTTCTAATAAACATGATACATTTAAGATCCACATTTAAATTTATATTTGGATATGAGATGAAAAATGAATATGTACAAAAAAAAGTACCAATAACCTACATAAAATGAGACTCATTCTAAACTTTAAAATATTTGTAGTTAAATAAATATTGACAAAAAAATCATCAATCAATTTGAACTGTTCAATTATAAAAAAATAATTTATGGTAATATTGACCATATTTACCCGTTGTATTTAAAGATATCATTAACCATATTTTTATAAATTAAGGTTTACAAAATATATTTTTCAAAATAGAAATTTTTTTAATTTGAATTTGACCTTTTCATCTAGCCGCCATTTTTCACAAAAATAAAAAATAAAAATGGCATTTTCAAAAATTTTAGACGTAAAAATCAAATAAAATTAATTTAGTAGTAATCGAGTAATTTAATATTATTAAAAATTGTTTGGTTCAGTCATAACCAAATTTTATTGGGCTTATCAGCTTTTATGAAATCAGATTTTATACCCAAAATCAGAGTTTTTTGACTAATTTTTCTTAGTCATATTATATAGTAATAAATAACTTATCTATATGTAGAAAAAATCAATTAAAAACA